GTTTGAATTGAATTGCTCTCCGATTCTTCCGCAGCCAGGGGGATCTGTGAAACAGGGATCAGGCAAGGGCGAGCACCTCGCCATGAGGGAGTTGGTTTTGCAGCAAGTCAAAAGAGGCCATGGACACTCTGTTGAACTTGAGTCTAGACAAGGCCCGCCTAGAGAGCTTGACGCGCCAGATGCCGATCCTCAGGTCAACGCTCCTGGCAGCATTGACGGGTAGCCCGGTTTTGCCTGTTCGGGTGAAAGTTTTGAGGCCTTTGACATAGCAGTGGAGTTCTGCTAAGTTTGCTCTGTGCCCGGATCTTCATGTTGGGGCGTTGGAGTGGTGGAAGTGTGGGGCCGACCATGGTGCCACAAGGATGCCAGACAGAAGAAGCTGACTGATCGCGCGAGAATCCGAATTTTGGATCGTGCGAACAGCACGATGGACTACTGAAAACAAAATTTCTCAATGCACTTCCCAAGACTCTCAGCCAGTATGTGTCGTGAAAGTGGTTTCGTACTGTTCAGGTAGCAAGGGTGACTTGATCAGTCGTTTTCTCGATGTGTGGATGACATGTGATGAAAAACAACTATGCCAGCTGCTGAGAGTCTTTCAGGGGTCAAGTGCGAGACCTCGGCTGATGTGCTGGCAAGCTTTGAGATCCTTAGAACTTGACTGAGCCCTCATAGTCTGATCGAATTAAAGAATCCACAAGTTCATCCACAAGTTAACTAAAACTGAAACTAGCTTGAGTCGCGGAAGAGTGTCGTGGATTACACCATATTCACAGGTGAACCCATATGTACCATTGCATGTGCAAGACCCCCAAGAGTGTATAGAACGCTGCAGCTTCCCACAGGGAACTCTGTTCTATGTGTTCAAAGCGTGGTGAGGTATGTCTATCATGAGCGTCAGCTCGGGGGCCTTTGTGGCTGGCAGCTTACTATCGTATTTTTCAGTGGCCCAAGGCCTTCTGTATATATATTTTTCTTCGGTGCCTTCTGTGGCTGAGGCGTGCATTGTCTCAACAACCTTCTGCAGGCCTTATAGGATTTTTCATCGCCTCGTCGCACACCTCCGCTTTTCTCCACCCTCATTTGGCCGTCTCATGGCTTTGTGCAGGGCCCGCACTTTGGCCCCGGAGACCTGGCAGAGATCGGCGTTCAGCTGGATCAGGAGGACATGAATGTCGACAGGGATCCAGAGAGTTGTGGCGGGGTGAAGCGTGGTCACCTGTTGTGTGAGGATTTGTCATGTGAGGAAGTGTAACGTGGTGATGCGATGGATGGTGGTCTGGAAATCTTAACTGTTTTGATGTTTTCATTGGTTTCCTTGAGATAATATGTCTCTCTTCTTTCATTCTTTGTTTGGCTATACTTTTCTATAGACACTCTTATTTTTGTGTACATTTTCTAGATGCTTAATAAATTTTTCCATACAATTGTCTACAGTCTACAAATCTCACCTCTGACTTTGCTGCATCACTGCTATGGCGATGCGTTTTCACACTCTCAGTTACATTCCCAATGTAGCTGCACGCTAATCTCATGCAACCAGTACAGCTCAGAGTTTGTGAGCACACGGAGCACCTGAAACCGGTCAAGCATACTATGACCACCCAAAACCATGCCGAGTTTATGCCCAGCCTGTGCTCCTGTCTGTTTGCGCCCCCGGATTTTTAAAGTCCTTGTGGTGACTCAGCCCTTTGTATGCCCTTTTACTTTCAAAGCCACACATCATTTCAGTCTAGTTATATATTTGTGTGTATTCTTCTGTTCATTGTTTCCACTACTGGAAAACTGCCGAGCCAAACTTCCGTTGGTGAAGATTTATTTGCAGGAGAGGGCGCTGGTGAGGCAGAATAGCACGGCCGCCTGGGATGTCTGAGCAAGAAGAACTCTTAAAGGTGGTGGCTGCACATTGTGACCATCGCGCAGTTCAGTCAGTCACTCTAAGGCGATGAAGAGCAGTCAGCTCCAGTTGGTTGTGAAGCCTACAATGTCCGGCGGCATGATTCGGGTGTGGTTCGGGCAGCCTTTAAGACGGGAGCTAGCAGCTAACAATCTTCTTTGCTCACTCTTGTGAGGGATAGCCATTTGAAGTGGTGCAAATCCATACAGAGAAGAAGCGTCGATTGAATGATGTTGTTTTTTAGAAGACGGGCCTTTTCCAGCATGTCAGATTCGCTGAGATGGAGAACAGCAAGGCTCTTTGTATGTTGCCTCAGCATGAGGTGGATAGCTCTGCTGATGGTGGAAACTTCAGCATCCAGGCCAGCAGCATGATCCGCATCTGGGCCTTTGCATGTGCTTCAAAGCTAATTCGCCCAACTTTGTGTGGCAAGATGTTTGAAAGAATAGGAAGCGTATGAAAAAGATATTGACATATGTGACAACTGTTTACAGCCTGAGAGTGTCCCAAATATTATATAATTTATGTGTGTTTTCTTCTAATCGTTATTTTTTGCTTTCTGCATCTATTTTACATGCAGAAAAACACACACCGCAAAAGCAAACAACATGCGGCCTACCGGCTTGGAAAGCAAGAAATACAACAAACACATTGAACATGTCTTGAGTGGGAGCCCCCCTTCCCTAGATTTGGCAGTCCTCCAGACAGCCTATTGGCTTTGGACATGCACAATAGATCACAATAGCTAACCGCAACAACAACGCAAAGCTGCAACAAACATGCAAACATGAGGCTAACAAGTCTTTTTTGGTCCATTGTTGCTGAGGCACCCAATTTTCTCGTAATATTTTTTGATTCAATGTGCAAAACAAAGCTAAAGAGAACCTGGAGCTGAGGTGCTCACCGTGGCCTTGAGACGCTTCAAGTTAGAGCTGGTATCTTCCAGGCCGGTTTGCTTGCGCCCATTTGTCGATTTCCAGCATGGGGAGTCATTCGTGACCCATCCAATGCTGCACCGCACATACATTTGAACAGCACAAGGTGTCACAAGGAGCCAAGTGCATTCAACATAGTCTGAGTTTGCTAGGCATCCGGAGATGAAGGGCCCAATGAAGGACGTGGTACTGACAGAAGAGAATCCTTCTGTTATGTGAACAGCATACCATAACCTTTCAAGGTGCGCCGCATGCTTGTACTTAAAACTCATGTTTAGCTGGTTGCCCGAGTGAAGAACCTCTGAAGTAGTTTGTGTGCAGATGAAGAGCTCGTGTGCAGACTCTTTTGCCTGACTGAAGGTGACCAAGTCTGAGGGTCTCAAACCTCAGGCACTCTTAGAGCTTGCCAGTCACACTCGGTGGTTGAGGGAAGGCCATGAATTTCTTTCACTGGCGAAGTCCTCGCTTGTTTATGTGTCTTTATGAACATGTCTACACATTTTTCGGGCACCAACTTGAATCAACACTGCGTTGAGGGCTGCCTAGCAGCTTTGAAGAAGTCGAGTCAAAACTGTCTGGACGCTTTCGATTGAATTCACATATATACGGCATTTCTCGCTAGGACCCTGCCATGGCAACAGAGGCTTTTCTGTGTCAATGCCCGAGCAACGGAAAGGTGGGACACGAGGTCAAGGCCTGACATGTCTGAGCTTGAGAAGTGGTGCCTTGTTTTGGTCAAGGTCAGAGCAGTGACCACTGGTTTGCCATCCGAAAGGTGGGTGAAGGGCAAACAGCTGGCGGCAACTCTGTGTGTCCCGAGTTTGCTTAGCATGGATGAAGTTTGTGGTAAAATCCCGTAGTGTGGTCTTGAGCTGTGGCTGGTCCTAAATGCAGTTGTTGTGCATTTTTGCGTCCTAGGCTGTTCTAGCTTTGAACCAACAACCAATTTTCTACAATATCTACCCCACACGCAAGTGCTATTGTTGATTGGCATGTGCAGTTTTGCAATGGAACCTTTACGCGGCCTTTCTGGCTTGATGCTACGAATTCGGCTGCTCAGCAATTCGGGGCGAAGGGGGAGGCAAGACTGAAAAGACAGTGGGGTTCGGGGGTATGGGAAATCACTTGTGTAAAGGGGTAGGTCTGGGGAGATTCTCCACAAATCTCTAGGCAGGTATATAATTTGTTCGCCAGTGAAATATGTATCCATCAGCAGTCTTTGATTCGTCCTTGAAAGGGTACAATCCGGAAAGCATGCAGAACAAGTCGAGTCAAGACGTCATCGCAATCGACTATTTAGTGAATGTTCTTCCCGGTGACACAGTGACTTTTGAAGGTCTTTGTTTTTTAGTTAGCTTTCAGGGGCGTGGAGGCTCAGCGGCTGGCGCTTGGAGGCGTGCTAGATTGAACTGCGATGCAGGATCAGACCTACTTACTATGAAGGAAAACGTTCTTGTGAACACCATATACTTGGAACATATTTTGTACAAGAATTTATGTCTAGGAGTTCATAAAGGGTAGCAAGGTTCCTTGTATACAGAGAACACTGCGCCGGACTCCGGACTGACAGGAAGCACATGACAACAATTATATAAATCTTCTATGTCAATGCGAGTTTGTTTTGCGATCAGCAAACATCAGTCTTATACAATTAGTGATTTATATAATGAGTTTGTGGGCTACTTTTGTCAAAACTGAACTTGTTAGTCTCAAAAATGATCTTAGAATTCTACCATTCCTTTGCACACTGGGCAACATGGCCCTCCAATTGGCTTTGCCTATGTTGACATTGAGGATGCAGACGTTATCGTTACTGGCATTGTTCTTGGATGACTTGTTAAAGACTTGTATAGTCACTACACGGACCGAATGTGACCTTCATCACACATTGAGTCGCGTTTACAACTCAAACACTAGTTCGACAAGATGATGCATTGGTCACATGTTCCTTGTTCCAAGATGCGTTGGTTCTGGGCAATTGGACTATTCTGTGCTGCACCAGCACAACACTTCCATTTGGCCCGAAGGTCATAAACACAGGTGGCGAGACTTCTTGCAAAAGTAAAAGTCCATAGAGAGCTGGCCACCAAGGTCATGAAGGCCCTAGACCAACACAGTATTTTGGCATACGTGAAACACACTTCAACGTAGCACTTGTGTTTTGGGATCCCAGCAAAGGTTCTTTTTGCTTCGCTGGCTTCACCCCTACTTGACAATCTTGACATGATGTCCAGCTCCAGCCTTTCACGCAGCGTGAACGACGCTCCATGCGCGTGCATTTGACCCTCTTGAGTGGCGAAGAAGCCGTGCTCACTGTGTCGCCTGATACGACGGTCCATGACCTGAAGCTACAAGCTCAGCGAGAACTTGGCATCCACGAGCTTGTCTCCTCACAAGGTGGGGAGAATTCTTCAGGAGTCAGGAAGGGTGGGATGGAATTGTTACTGCCCAATTGCCTGAAAGATGAGTTACTCAGGTGCAGTCATCAAACAGCCACGGACCGGGTCTGTTCCTTGAGTAGGTGGAGTAGGAGTCGCTCAAATACTTTCTCATCGATCTTAAGCAAAGTACTAGGAACAAGAAGCTACTAGGGGCTCCTGGCCTTACTACTAGGAACAAGAATGCACAGAGTCCTGTTTGATAGCAGGATCTTAAGGGATCCGTGCACGCAAGTGATCTACTTTGAGCACAAAGGATCCCGAGGCCGTCCAGGACCCCTGGGTTCAACATAGAATAGAGACCTCATCTCTTGCAACTGTACGCTTTGCGGTTGAAGACCATGCAATGGGAACTATAAATATATGTATATAAATATTGGATGGTACAATTGAACATACTTTTAATTCTTGGAGCAGAGGTGACCCCCATGTCGTTCAGTAAAGAAGTGGATTTCGGCACGGTGAGGCCGGAGCTGGTTTCAGAACAATAGGTGCTCAGTGTTAACTGCCGATCTTCGACTGTATATAGTGCCCGGATCAGTGAAACCTAGCAGACAATATTATTGAAAGGAAGCCATTATTCTTTTGTCGAACACAAGAAGACCTATTCATCCGGACTTGTTCACCATTACTTCACAAGATATGTGCTACAATGAGCAATCACTATATTGAGTGAGAGATATTCATAAAGTTCTAGTAGTAGAGATTATGAAGAGCACATGCTGGATTGAGTTACACTGAGGTCAAATTCTGAGCGGTTTTTGCTCTCTAAGAGATGCTGGAATCCGTGATGGTGACAACATCAGCGCAACTGTGAGGTGCGCTCCCGTGTGGGATGATGAGTCCGGCTTCCGCCCATGCTCACTACTTATCTAAACGCTACACACTGGCACCTCTGTATTTCAAACAGATACTTTACTTCGACACTCTAGTGCTGGCAGATGACAAACTGTCAAGCTCTCAATGGAACCTTTGTTCGAACTATATAAGTGATCGGAGAAATTGGCACTATGCTCTTGACCATGCCATGAGAATGTAGCATGACCTGCACCTGAGGTCTGCTCAGCTCGTCTCTGGGCGTCTCTGCCGTGCTTTTGCTTTGATCCGTGGCGATGGCACAGTGGTGTCTTGGGGCGACAAGGTAGCTTGTGGACAGCAGCTTGGAAGATGCAGCAGTTTCATCCATTTCAGTGGGGAGCTTGGTAATGCTGAGATACCCTATTATTGGCCAACAGTCTAGTGGAAAACACTCCCTGGCTTAGGCCCACCTGTTCGCATGACAAAAGGCTGTCCCACAACCTTTTGGGCGTGGCTCAATTGCCCAGAACATCCTGGTCAGCACTCAAGATTGCTTCTGTTTAGGATGACGACGAAAGCTCTTTTGTTGGACACAAAAAACATGAAAGCACTTGCATGCTGCAGAGGCTACGGCTGAGGCGCAACGTAATTTGGGCTAGTGTTACCACCTAGGCTGAAGCGAGATGGCAAGACAGATGAATCGGATCAATAGGTAGTCATTGATTAATTGCAGTTGTAAAACATCCAATCATTTTCATGCAAGTTTGTTCGGCGGGTCAAGGAATGTGACAAGAGAAGCAGTAGAACCCATTTCTACACATGTGCGAATTTGTTGATAAAATTCACATCGAGACTTGCCAAACCACATGCCACAGATAACAACTTCAAAAGAAAGTAATTCTATCCATGCAATCAATCGGAAGGATACAGCAGATGTACCGTCTTTGCAAAGGTACAGTGACATCAACTGGAACGAGCTGCGCGACGTCCAGCAGATCTGCGCTTCTTCAGGGGCTTTTGCTGCAGTGCTGGGAAATGGCCAGGTGGTGACTTGGGGTGACTCTTCTTGTGGCGCTGACAGCCGGAGGGTCAACGAGCAGCTCACAGCCGTTTGCAGCCTTGAAGCCTCCGCCTTCGCCTTCGCAGCGCTTCGGCGCAATGGCAGCGTGGTGACGTGGGGCGACCATCGCTTTGGCGGTGACAGCCGCCCGGTCCAAGAGCAGCTCACATCAGTGAGGAGGATTGTGGGCTCAGGGAGGGCCTTTGCTGCAGTGCGACGAGATGGTCTTGTGGTGTCCTGGGGAAGTGAGGACTGTGGTGGAGATTGCAGTGAAGTGAAGGAGGAACTCACCGATGTGGTTGATGTTTACAGCACCTATTCAGCCTTTGCTGCTGTTCGGCAGGATGGGTCTGTGGTAGTCTGGGGGGATAAGCATGGTGGTGGCGACATCACAGAAGTGAAGCAGGAACTGTATGATGTGAGGGAAATCCACGGCTCAAGCTACGCCTTTGCCGCGATCCGAAGAGATGGCCAAGTAGTGACTTGGGGGTCGGCAGACTCTGGTGGTGATAGCCGCTTAGCCCAGGAGCGTCTCTTTGAGGTGTCGCAGGTCCAAGCCACGGACTCCGCCTTTGCTGCTCTTAAAACGGACGGCACCGTCGTGACGTGGGGTGGGCGTCATGGCTTTGGACGCGGAGGTGCCCCAAGTGCGGCGGTGCAGCAACAGCTAGTGGATGTGCAACGGTTGGCTGCGACAGACGGGGCATTTGCAGCGCTGCTGGGGAATGGTCGAGTAGTGACTTGGGGCGATGAAGACTATGGAGGAGACTGTCGTGCTTTGTCTGAAGAGCTTCAAGATGTCCATCAAATCCAAGGCTCAAACTCGGCCTTTGCAGTGGTAAAGAATGATGGCACCGTTCTGGCCTGGGGCGATCGCGTCGTTGGTGGAGACTGCAGTGGTGTGAAGCGTCAACTGAAAGACGTTCATTGTGTTTCCCTAAGGAAATCCAAGTTCAGTGATGGAGCTGCCGAGATACATTGCACGAAATGCGACAGCACGCCGAGTCGTGCTAGCACAAGCAGGGCAGAGTATGACGCCACTGATGGCACATTAATCGCACTTGAATCCGGCGTTGCTCCGCTTTGACCTAGTTATACAATCCACTCAGAGTGCTTTAGCAAAGAGTATAGGCTGCATGGGAAGTGAGAATGCTGCATGCTCTTTATTTCTTTCCATTTCAATCTACTTGCAAACGACTACTGTATAAAGGTCATTTTCACCACAGTTACTTTTGTGTCCACAATTCGATTTCTACCTTGCATGTTTCCTTGAGTCGAAATGAACTGGCTTCAAAGCTTTACTGAATATAGATTGTCCCCACCTGAATTCCGATCGACCTGTAGGTTTGTAGGTGAGAAGATCTAAAGATTAAAAGACCGCAAGTTACTGGTCACTGGTTACCTCAAAAGTACACAAAAGTCATGAAAACCGATGCTTCCCATGCAGCAAGATGATATTTCCTGAAACCAGGGGATCCCCTGGCGCTAAATGCAAAAATGTATTTCTTTCCACCAGCACCTTTTGCTGGGCCACATTTCCAGAGTCTGAGTCGCAGGTTCACCCTCAATGCCGGTGAGGACTTCAATCCCCACGTCGATTGCTCCTAAGAAACCTGCTTTGAGTGCATTCAATACTCGGTGAAGAAAGCGTTCCAGAAGCTTGTGGCCGCAAAAAAGGGAAAAGAAAAGAATCGGTGTCTCCGATTCGTAAACCGTGGAGCACTCTCGTTTGCACAGTTGCATTGAAAAATAAACAGACACAATCGAGATATTACAGTATGCGTTCGATTTTATTGCTCCAAGCCCTGAAGAAGCCTCGGTAAAAGAAACATCTGAGTAGTGCAAAGGGGTCCAAACATCCTGAATCGTGAAGTTGTGACACCGAAGTCGAATTTGACTGTGAAGGTCTCACAAGCTCAAAGTTCCGAAAGATTCAAAACTCCAAAGTTCCTAGCGTCGCGAAGTGCGTTAGCTCCTGACTGCATCACCACCTCACGAGCCCTGGGTCTCTGTCACTTCCAGGGTGACACACACACAAACTACTCAGAATGAACCTTGAGAGTTCCTACAAAAATGACCTTTGCAGTAGCTATGTGTGGGAGGCCGTCTGTCGACGACAGATGGAGCTGAGTGTCAAAGGGTCCGGAGCGATCAAGACCGAAGACCCAGTCGGGTGGGCGTTGCCGGGCGCAGAGCAGTTGAAGTTGCTGAAGTAAACTCCAGACAAAGTCTTCCGTGTGGACTTACAATTTGAAGAGATTCTCAGATTCACCATGTCCAGCGGTGCTGTTTAGACATCTTCATGCTCTATTTCTTAAGGAAACACCATGTGTGGAAGGCCTTCAGGAATCATATTAAGCATTTTTCAGTGTAAATGACACATGGCTGGAGATGCAAAATAAGGTCCTTCAAGCTTGGAGGTGTGGAGGCTTCTTTGAGCATTGGCGAGCTCAAGAAGAAATGCCAAGAGGACATGAAAAGTCGTAATTCTCAGGGTGGCAGTCATTGACAAGCACATTTATGCACATAGGACATCCTCCAAACTCTCTTCGATCTGCACATAAGATAAGCCAGTGAGAGGATGTGTGAGAGGATTGAGGTAGTTCAGGAATGCGGTCCAAGTGACAGGGACTAGCGACTAGCGGAGTTCGTGACGCATGATGGGCATGTTTTCGCGTGTAGGAGAAACACACACGCACATCACTACATTGTTTGACTTCGGCCTAATGTGTTCCAAGTGCCTTGCCAATGAATCGATACTCTGAAGGAGTGTGGCTTAGATGTGTCACAGCAGCGACTTTTTCTAAGAGGCAAGCTGCTCAAGGACACAGCATTTTGCCTTGATTGACCTTTGCCGTTTGGCCTCAACGATAGCGAGTTCAGATGCGGGTGGAGAGTGGGGAATCCTTTTTATCATCCACAGTGGACTTTGGCAATCTGAGCTAAACACTGAATGGACCAAGCTGACCCTAAAAACGGATAGTGTACCTACGTGGCAAACCACATCGTTTTCACAAACCTCGCCTCAACGTTCTCATGCGCTTACACAGGACGAAGACACCATAGAGGCAGCCAAGATCACCGACAAGGCCACCCTCTTCCTGGTGTGGACACCCAGGGCTTTTCAAGGCTCACATAAGAAAATCCAAAAAGAGATGAACGAAGGAAGTTAAGGCCCCTTCTAAAAGAAATACAAAGAGATTGCAAAAGGAATGCAAGGTTCCTTTCTTTCTTTGTCTCCGGTCTTGTATCTGTGTCCGTCTTGTCTCCCTTCTGTTATCTTTTGTCTCCCTTTTTGTCTCCCTTCTTTTCTCCCTTCTTGCTGGTCGTTGTGTCCGCCTTGTCTCCCTTCTTGTCCCTCTTTGTTTCCGGTCTTGTCTCCCTTTTCGGTGGTCACTGCGTCCCGCTTGTCTGCCTTCTGTTATCTTTTGTCTCCCTTCTTGTTGGTTATTGTGTCCGCCTTGTCTTCCTTCTGTCTCCGGTCTTGTCTAATTTTTTGGTGGTCACTGCGTCTGTCTTGTCTCCCTTGTGTTTCCCTTTGTCTTCCTTCTTGTCTCCCTTCTTGTTGGTCATTGTCTCCGGTCTTGTCCCCAATTGTTGTTGGTCACTGTGTCCGTCTTGTTTCCCTTCTGTTTCATTTCGTCTCCCTTCTTGTCCCCTTGTTGGTCATTGCGTCCGCCTTGTCTCCCGTCTTGTCTCCCTTTGTCTCCGGTCTTGTCCTCCTTCTTGTTGGTCACTGTGTCCGTCTTGTCTCCCTTCTGTTCCCCTTTTTTTCCTTCTCGTTTCGCTTCTTGTTGGTCATTGGGTTCATTGTGTCCGTCTTGTCTCCCTTCTGTCTCCCTTTTTCTCCGGTCTTGTCTCCCTTCTTGGTGGTCATTGTGTCCGTTTTGTCTCCCTCTGTTTCCTTTTGTCTCCCTTCTTGTCTCCGTTCTTGTTTGTCATTCTGTCCGTCTTGTCTCCCTTCTTGATGATGTCTCAAAAAGTGGACTTGGGAATGCTTCGTTGTTGTCTAACCTGTTTGGGGTCTACGGTGGTGTAATCTTATATATGACAGTGTACATTATGACATTGTGTATATATATATATATTTGATTCAACATGTTGCATTTTCATCTTGTCATCTTGAGCAAGGATGCAGTCGACCAAGGTGAAAGGTGCCTCAGGTAGTGGCGGCGGCGCAGAAGCAAAGGCCATGGGAGAGTAGCTTGCACGGAACAGCTTGAAACACAGATGTTGCACAGGCCTTTCTTCAAACGTGCAGTGACATATGCTCGGAACAATAAGTTGCATGACGAACAATTTGATACTGACGAGGACGTATATTTCATCAAAGGCATTTGTTGAGGAGATGTTCATTGACCTCCTGTTGCCCAGTCCATTGACCGTGTCCAACCCTGTAGCACGCCCCATTGTGTCAAGGAGGAAAAGAAAGAGGAAGAGCCGGCTCGGTGCTCAGTCTGCTTGGGCCCGTCTTGCTTTGGGTTTTGGGTGGTACACTGCGTTTGTGCCCGACAGAGGAGATGTACAAAAATATAGCGAATAATGATGAGTATCTGGATTGAATTCCAACATTTTTGAGAGGATGCGGGAATGGCCTTCACACACAGAAATGACGGAAGCCAGTCCCACTCGGTTTTTGAGCTAGAGTGATAACATGTCAGAACAGTAACGATAGGCTGTGTGGGAGCATTCGCTCGCGTGTTCCAGTTTCGCGAAGGCTGTGCCGGTGCCCTGTCGTGGTGGCTGTGGCTTTTGCGGCACAGCGCGCACCGACAACTACTGTGTGGTGCCCAAGGGGCAGATCACTATCACGCTTCACCCCCCCAACAGCAAGAAGTGAAAGAAGAGGAGGACAAACACCAACATTGGCAAGTAATTATAAGGTATAGTTATAAGGTACAATTATACGTACTCTTAAATAGCTTTGTTCACTTTGCCAGCTTCAACTGGTTTTCCGTGAGCATTTTCGAGTGTCATCCAGGGAGCAAGGTTGATTCAATAGCTATTTGAGGCTTGTTCATTTGTTGAGGGGGAATTATTTTGATTGCAAACGGCTTGCCCCCTTTGACTCTAAGTGTTTTGGGTTGTTGTTGTTGTTGTTGTTGTTGTTGTTGTTGTTGTTGTTCTTGTTCTTGTTCTTGTTCTTGTCGTCTACCCGGTCTACCCTCGCAGCCCCTTTTTGAGTGCAGCCCACGGTTCACATTTAGCATCGCAGGAGTTGATTCACTCGAGGGCACCACACTGTCTTTTAACGATTCAATAAGCCCGCACATGATGATTGAACAACAATTATGAGTGTAGTATAGCAAAGAAAGTGAGCTCCTTTGGCAGTGTTCCTGCCTTCAAGGCTCAAAGTGCTATGCAGAGAGGCAGAAGAAGCAGGAGGTGAGGGAAGACACATGAGGTACAAGGAACAGAAGGGACTCGTGAGAAATGTGCTTGTCAGGAAGAGGAGGCAAAAGCAAAAAAAGATAAGCGTGGGGACTTGGGCCCCAATGAGCAGTGCCATCCCTTCGAATTTTCAACTGTGGAAGATGGAAGCACATGGCCTGTCTGTTCCCATTTCATACTACTAAGGGAAGAGGCAGAGAAAGCAGAGGCAAAGACAATGGAGGTGGAGGCCTAGGTTTTAATGACCATGATGCTCAGTGTACACTGCTTGGAGTTGTGCTCGCTGGGCAAGTGGTGCACCTGGGTGTATGCGGGAAATGTGGTATTTGGCGAGCTCTGAACATCAGAATTCGAGACCCAAATCCAATGGAAACCTGTATGCTTGCGCCTACGCGCCTGGAAGCGGAGGAAGAAGCTGTGCCGAGGGAAGAACAAAAGGCCCAGCCCTCAGAGCCCTCCAGCCTTCGGTCAACCCTTCAGGCTCGTCGTTTTGGTACCAGTCATTCCTTTGTTATACAAATCACGAAAGCCAGCCGATAGGCAAGGCTTGAGGTTGCTGGAGCGAACGAAGTGATAAAGGGGTGGGGGGGGTGGTCGCGAGTTCGGAGAGGTGAACCCAGAGCCTGGTGGGGGAGAGCGAAAAAAAGAGGTGGGCCACTTGGTAGTGAAAAATGAGTGGCTTGAGGGGTGTTGTGATGCCGGTGATGTAATGATGCCGGTGATGTAATTGACGGCGAAGAGTGCATCATCAGCATCAGGGGCTCAGGAGGCCATGAGCACAC